TCTTAAAATTATATTTAAACAGTCTGACGCTGCATTTAAATGTTCGCAAATTTCTGATAAAATTCGCAAAATTCAAATAATACTTCCCAGTTTTAGTGTTATGCAGCTCTGCAAAATCTTGTAGAATCAATCTTAGACTTAACTTATCAGCTGGTTTATTTCATTATTGGCTTCAACCCATACAACAATATCCTACACCTTGATCATTATAAACGATGTACTGTCTCATGTTACTGGAAATGCGAGTGATTGTTCAAGCAGCACTAATATCCTTTTGCATAATATTACCATTCTCTAAAGCTGTAAGTACAAAATCCCAAATCTGGATCTCCAGTGTATGAAACGATCTAATATTCAGACTTCCTGATAACCAGTAATCTTTTCCTTTAAGAAATTTTTGTATAATTTGTGCTTGTACATTTGCTATTTTTTCATAATAAAACATGTGGAAAGCCCGATTCTTAATTTCACTTCAGCACTCCTGTTAGTCTCCTGAATCACTATTTATTTATTTTTTTCTTTCATCACCGCATGACTATCAATGAGAAATGACTTAAGCAGCAATGTCGAAACAATTTTTTAAATTTTTAATATTGATAATTGAATACCAAAGACCATGGTAACCTTTCATGTTGATATTATGCTTACAGTCTTCAGCTAAGTCTGCTGCCAAATATTGAATGTGTTGACGAGAAATTTAACAGGAATTTCTTTCCATATGCAAAAAATAGATTTTAGCATGATACTCATAGGCCGGAAAATTACATTTAGTGCTATTTGGATTCTGAATAACTGATTGGTTATTCAGCTAAGCTTAGTGCTGATGTGGCTGAATTAAAGAGAGGCAAAATTTTAGAATTTAGAGAAGCATTAAGAGCAAAGTTAAAAGGATGGCAAAAACGTTAGAATTTAGGGAAGGCACTGAGTGCAAAATTTAAGGGTAGCAAAATTTTTAGAATTTAAGGGGGCTCTTGGCAGCAGAATTTAGGACATGCAGACACTGCACCGGACCACAAAATAAGTAGCGGTGTCTCTGGATAAGCCTTAAGTACATGTGGAAATTTATTTATTTGGGACTCAGATAAGCCTTAAGCATGTGTGGGGAACAGGTGCAGATGTCATATATAATATAATAAAATTAGTGCATTGTAAAAGGAAGACAAAATTCATTGGAACATGTCTTTAGTCGCCAATCTCATGACTCATCGCCAGTAGTGTGTTACAGAAGATAGCTAAGCTTTATGCCATGAATTTGAAGGTTTTCAGATAACATGAACAAAAAGCAAAATTTTCCAATTAATGTAATTTGTAGAGAAGTATTAAATAAGAATTATATAACAGAAGTTTGTCATGACAATGCTTCATCATAATCAACTAATGGATGGCAAAATCTGTAGTATGATTCTAAATCCAGATACCATATATCACTATCAATAGTAAAGAAAGTGACTGTTGTTAATAAGGAAAAAATTTCCAGTTCACAATTTAGTGAGAATTCGTGGCATGACAATTGCAGGAGCAGGACTTGAATAATGAAGCTTTGTGACTGAATGAGAAATTTTGCCTATCTATAGAATTAGAAAGAAAGCATTAACATAAAAAATGAAGCAAGTTAAATAGCTTGCATCAATGAAGCAAACAAATAAATATTGAGCTTTATTTTTCAATTTTCATTCCTTTAAGGGGTAAATACGTCATTATTTCATGAATCACTATTTCATATTTTTAATTTAAAATTTCTATGTCATCTTACTACTTGTAGATTTAAACTCATGACCTAATATCTGAAAAAATTCCGACAAGACTGGATCTTTGAATTTGTTTTGTATTTTCACTTTGGGCAGCAGTATAAGGTCACAATCTAATTGTATTTAACGTGAACACAATGTAAATCTAATTGTATTTAACATCAACACAAATTAATCTTACTAGACTGCTGGATAAATTTTTGTCCCATTTTAACTTGAATTCGTATGACGCAAACTAATGATAAAAAGTGTATAAAAGCAACTGAAATATTTATTGGTACTCCAACTTAAAATTAAAATCAAGGAGATAAAAAAAGAAACTTCTGCTTTGGGATCAATCAGAGCATTAGGTACAACTATTCAAAGGGTGATGTTAATTGCCCATGAACAGCACTGCCCACTGAAGACCACTTTTTGATGCTGCAGTGTGGTAAAGTAGAGTAAAGTGTAAATTAACTGCATAGTTCTGTGGGCTTCAGGTATCGCAATTTGCTTTGGCCAGTGGATGCATAAAGATGAACAGTTTGCCCAGAAAAAAGTTTCTTTAACACCTGTTTATCATTGTTAGTGCTTAGAGTGGTGCTAAGAACTCGAGGATTGGATTACAGTGTATAATAGCATAGGTTTACTAGTCATAGCAAATTAGTCTTAGCAGTGGTCCTGTATATCATGTAATCTAGCCAGAACTTGCCACATAATGTAACCCCACAAATATTAGCTGAATCAGTATGGATCTTGCGGTTTTCTCTTCTAAGAATGCATTTTGCTGGATGACTATACAGAGTGTCAGATAGAGGAAGCAGTACTATAATTTGTGAAATGCTATTGTAGTGAGGTAATTCTACTTCATGTAGCCTGTAGCTCTTCCTGTCTCGAGTTTATGGTCAGAAACAGATTTGTGAAATTGTGCGAGTCTCAGTTGAGACCACATTTTAGCTGCTTCCAAATCATTCACTAAATTCAAAGAAATGTGGCATAAAAGCATAAAATAATAGTAAACATACCTTGCTCCTTAACATGAGGTGTTACTCCAATTTCAGATGAATTGGGTTCTCTATTACATACAAATAAATCTGATATTATTTGTATGTGGTAATGTAACACACTTATGTATTGTAGCTTTGATATGATGTTGGAACGAGAGAACATTGCTCAAAAGAACTGGTCAAATTGTTCCTCATACCTAAATTCTATTGAATATATCTAGGGTACTCTGCATAGACACCTTGGCACATATTTGCATTCATCGACTATAGGTCAAGTCGGCACACAAAGACGAAGAATGTCATTGTTACTGCAAGAACTGAATGACAGCCTCATTCAAAGTACGCAATTCATTGCAAAAGATACATCAACATTAAACATGATCATAGTCCCTACTGAGACTACCTTTTGCCTGTATTTAATCCCTAGAAGAAATTCATCATTGCAACCTCTGGCACTTTCTGGTTATATGCACTTTTCTTACCAGAAGTCATGAAAAAATGTTCACAAGGTAAAGCAGCATGTCATCCAAATACTTGTGTGCAACCCATGATGTTGCAAAAATGTACTGGTATGAAATGTTGATATTGTGTGATGTCAAGGTTGTGCAATTCTCAGTTTTTTCAAGAGAAAGTGTTTCTTGCTTTTTCACTTTTGTATTACACTTGTATGGAATTCTTACTCCACAGCCATTTTGAAACTGGCTCTTGCCTTTTATGCATTATCTTGGTGAAAAATTTACTTGCCAACAAGTTTACAAATACTCTCTAATGTTACTTTAGAGTTCAAAATTTTTTTGTTGGGTGGTGTTGATAATCAGAAAGCACCTTTTTGTGGGGGCTATTATAGTTGCATTCAGTAGTTTGTATTGTGCTGACAGAGGAATGGTCAGAGCTGTCACTAGAACTTACTGATAGTCTCTTTTGAAATGTGCACATGCAGTGCAAATCACATATCTCTGTTTAAGGGATTGTACCAGGCTAAGAACAGCCCTTATCTTTATTTAATCTCTGATAGTGATTGTTTTCATTGCAGCATGAGTTGAAAAAAGATATTTGTATATTTCTTATCTGTTAAAGTTACTGTGTTGCTTTCCTCATCACTTTGGCGTTAAGCAGATTATATATGAGGTTATGTTATTCAGGCCTTTCCAATTTAAAATTTTAGGTGAAAAATGTTATTGTTTTTAAGTTTTACATACCAGTGTATCTACTTATCTGTCCATACATATGCCATCTTGAATGGTATAGTGTTTAGCTAAGACTAACTGTTAGTATGAGAAGGAAACTGAGAAAGCACATTGTCAATTGGCATACATTTACGGCATGGGACATTTCTTGAGTGTTGCATTTAGGATGATCCTTATGTAGAATTTCCTCCATAACATGTGGTGTCCTCACACTCCTTGATTGCCCTGTACCTTACAAGAAGGTGGCAGAGAAACTAGTTCAAACTGGTACTTGTTGTTGCTCACTGGGCTTAGGATCTGGCATGTGTCTTGCAGGAAAATGCTCTGTTACAATGTTTGAGCTTCCTATTCTCAGCTGTACCCACAAAATGTATGTCTGCCTTCTGATTCATGAAATAGCTCATTTACCTTGAAGTGTGTTCACTGAAATATGCCATATATCGTTTTGCCACTTGAATTACTTCCATACATTGTATGATAAAAAGTACTTGTGTAGGTGTATTTTTCCATCTCTAAGTTCTGTCAAAGCATTTTAAATCACTTTATGTAAAAGATAGTTTATGATTTAGTTGGCATCTACTAAATTAGTAACATCATCGTCTGACAAAAGTAATTATGTGCAGCTTCAAACTGGATGCAGTGAAATATGTAATTTTTTAAACATATGTCTTTCGTGTGTGAATAACCAGCAGTTCCATACTTGAAACCATTTATTCTGAGTATTATAACCATTTATTCATTATTTTCTTCCATAGCACATGAAAATTCTTCAAAATAATACTTTCCAATTCTAGTCATCTGTTATTTAGCAGGCTTTTACTTGATTTAATTCATTCTGAAGTAATTTTTTTTTTTTCAGAATGCAAGAAATAAGTTTGTACTTGTTACCATTATTGCTTAGAGTAAATTAAAATTTTAATATTTACTTCAAACCAATATTATCTTCCACCCTCTTTACCTTTAGCTAACTGTGATAATCTTACTGGTGTTTAATACATTGAAAAACCTTGTAATACATTAATATATAGGTTTCCTAAGCATATTTTAAAATGTTTCATTTTTTTATATGTTTTCTATAGCCATGCAAGAAGAAGTTTTAAAACTGGTGTTACTGGCATTAGAAGATGGATCAGCATTGTCGAGGAAAGTCTTAGTAATGTTTGTTGTACAACGTCTAGCTCCTCATTTCCCTCAAGCATCTAAAACTAGTATAGGCCATGTGGTTCAGTTACTTTATAGAGCGTCTTGTTTTAAGGTATTTCAACTTCATTATTTTTGTTTTTGTGGGAAGAGGCATCATTTTGATATCTTTCATATGTAGTTTCATAACATTAAAATATTGAAATATTAGGCCTTGGTTTAAAATCCTGATGTTATCTGAAGGCATACTATCAGTCAAGCAGTAAAATTGCTAAATAATAGTAGTCTCACCCACAATTTGTATCCTGGCAAATGAGCTGACTGCATGAGAGTTTTTATGATTTTCCTGTTGTATGTAATATGAATACAAGCCAGCTTTCCTTAGAAAGACGTCTACAAGCATACCCCTTCTCCAACGGAGACAGCTTTTAAGTACTTTGCTCCAATCCTTATTTTAGCTTTTTCTGTAAAGTTTTTTATAGCATATTAACTACATGATGCATTGAAATATTCCTTTATATTTCAGAAGACAACAAACATTTTGAATAGTAAAAGAATGAAAATCGTTGTGAGTGTCTTGCTAGAAAACTGCTGTTGTTTGGTATTTCAAGAATCATGTCAGTATGTAAAGAATTTTAAAGAAAATAGATGCAGAATCAGAAAAATTTGTAAAATAGTGTATTGATAGAGTGTAACAAGGATTAGCTAATTGGCAGTGCTAATCTTTTATCTGGTGGGCAAGCTTTCTGCTGAATCAGGATTCATACAGTCCTTTAAAGTCCTTTGGTTTTGGGGAATAGACTTTTGGCCTTTAAAAGTCCTTAATTTCAACAAAAATCGGCAGAATGTCCTTAATTTTAACCATCTAAAACTTCTGTTTGTTTTTACAACTACCATTTTGAGTGTGAATTAGCATTTTGGAGGAATATTTTTGCCGATTCACTGACAAGTATGGTTGTCTTTTGAATAAGTGAATGGTTATAATTTGTTTACATTTCTAATATAAACATTGGGATACTTGAGTTTCTGGGCAAGAAGTGAAACATAAGCATTTTGAAGTTATTTCATTTTTTCTAATGAAGAACTCTTAAAAAACTTTTCACTTTTAGGAATGTGAATTCTTTTATTAAACATTCTAAATTTGATGACATATCAACATTTTGGAGATTTTAAGATCAGTTTCTAGAAGATTTTTAATTCGGAGGCCTGGGAACTTTTCGACGATTTTTTTTAAAAATTACAACATTGTAAATCATTAAATTAATGGTAAGGTATTGAAATTATATTAAAGAAATAACATTAAAATGAAATATTTTTATTTTTTGTTATATTACATAAAGTACCTTCCATTTGGGGGATTTATTGTACAATATTTTAAATCTGAAAAATAAAGGAGGTAATAAATGCACAATTTACTAAACAACTCTTTGCAAAAGCAAAATTACTGTGAAATGTCTTCTTTTTAATTTTTTCATGGTAAGAATTTATCTCTTGTTATTGTCTCAGAATATTCAGAGTTCTCATAATGTGCACAAGTTTTCTCTATAAAATTAATTTTGCACTTTTTTATGTTCATGCCCCCCCCTGAAAAAATATTTTTGGCTGTTTACTATTGCAGAAATGGTAGGGGTAATTTTTCTTTAGGATTTTAGACCTTGAATATAACAAAATGAAAAATGTCTTCATGATATAAACATGTAATGGATGTATTTTACAGAAAGTTTATACAGTCAAAAGTTGTTAATTCGGACACCCATAATCCGGACCTCAAAGCTAAAAACTTTCTGCGCATGCACCGCATTGACACATGCGCATAGGCGTTTACGCGTAAGCGTAAGACCTTTTACACTGCGCATATGCGTGTGCACAAGCGCAGAATACGTTTTCGCGTGCGCGTTTTATGTATAACGGACGATATAATCTAAAATTATCTAATTATCTATTTCAGTTAATGTTGATGATTGCGTTGTTCCTAAATCTTCGAATTGGATCCGGCTTATTATTTTTTTGCAGACTGTAAGAGCAATTTTATAAAAGTAAACTTGAACTTTCGATTATGTCAAATAGAATTTCCGATTCTGGAGCTCCCAAAGGATCGTACAAAACGAAAGTATGTTTCGATGCCCATTAAAAAAAAAAAAAGTGGAATTGCTGAAAAAAATGGATAAAGACATGAAGAATAAGACAGAGAGTTTAGTGAAAACGAAAAAATTTCGATTGACAAGTTAATCAGTATTCTCGGTACAACAATTAACGGGACTTGAACAGCGGAACTTTGTAACTGAACTAGAAATTGTGTCTGTTTATAGAATTAAAGAGAAAGTATTATCACATAAAATGAAGCCACTTAAAACAACTTACATTGAAAGAAATGTTTAATAAAGTAAACAAATAAATATTAAGCAATTTTTTTTTGTAAATTTTGATATCCTTTAGATTATAATTGTTCTTTATTTCATAAATTAAGGTTTCATATTTTTAATTTTAGAATTTCTGCATGCCATCTTACAAGATTTAAACTGATGATCTATAATCCGGAAAAATCGATAATTCGAAATCACCGAAGTCCCGACGAGTCCGGATTAACGACTTTTGACTGTAATGAATTTCTTACTTTTTGGAGAATTTTTAGAACAATGAAAACATAATATTTGAATACTAATTCAGAAGTCAAACAACAAAAATCAGCGTTATATTTTCAAAATTTTCACAGGTCTAGTTTCGATGGTTTTACCGAACCACCATCCTCAGCTGCAAAACCGCAAATGTACGAAGATAGGATATAATGATTAGATAAGATTAGAAAGCCTGGACAAGAATAAGCAAGTGGCGCCGTCTGTTGGTGAAACCAGAACTAAAATATAATTTCTTTAAAGGCCGAAGGCAAAGATGGATTGGAATTAGGATCGTTAACTAGAACAGAGAGATTTTTTTTAATGTGAAATGCCTCTAGAAAATCCAGTTCTCCAATGGAAGATGTTTTTTGAATAATTTTGGCAGCAGAAAAATTGAAAGTGTGACTTTCGGACCAACAATGTTGAGCAACAGAAGACTTCTGTGTTTCCTTTTTTCTAACATATGCCTCATGTTCCTTGACGCGAAATTTTAAGGCTCTCTTAGTTTGGACAATGTAAATTAAACCACACTGGCAAGGAATCCTACAAATACCCCAGGAATTCATATCCGGAATGGGGTGCTTGAATATGGAACTTGGAATTTTATCCCGAAAGTTAAGTTTCTGCAAAATATGTGCAACTTTATAGCTAATTGATGGAAAGAAGGGAATGACAACAGAATTTTTATAATCTCCTAAAACAAGAGTGTGCCTTTTAGTGTGTGGAGATGAGAATTTTTTAACCGCTTGATTAATAATGTTGGGTGAAAATCCCCTGTCAATAGCTATTGCTTTTAAATAATTTAGTTCTTCATCAAGGGATAGTTTGGAGGAGCAAACTTGAAGAGCACGGAAAACATAGGAATAAAATGAAGCTAACTTTTGTTTAGTCGGATGACATGATTTAAAGTGTGGTGGAAGGTAAACCGTAGTACTGAAGTTGGATGTGTAACGTGTGACCATAATGTCGAGAAACGGAAGAGAATTGCAAGTCTCAAGTTCAAAAGTGAACTGACTAGCAGGATCAATAGAATTCATTGTTGAAAGAACTTTACTTAAATCATCTTTATTACCTTCAAACAGGGTAAAAGTATCGTCTACGTAACGGAACCATGCCGGGAAGTTTAAAGTTTCAAACAATTTTTATTCATAATAATGGATGTAGATATCAGCCAGGATGGGACTGTGGGGGCTTCCCATGGCTAATCCCTCAGTTTGGATAAGAACACTTACATCGATGGTGTCACTAAACTCTTAAACAAAGGACCATATAATCCGATCCCTAAAGATCCTTCATCTTCGGACCTGTCAAAAATACAAACTGCGATCAAATCTTCACAAATTATTTCAAGCAACTTGAAATATTCGCTTATCCCATCTGTTGCGAATTGTGCCTGATTATATGCTCTTCACAAAATTCACAAAAGTGGTACTCCTTTCCGCCGTATTGTATCAAATTTAGGTACTGCCTCATATGCATTAACTAAATATTTAGTTTCTAGATTTTCAACTCTATTAGACAATAACATGTACACCATAAAAAATTCAATAGAGTTTGTAAAAAAGGTTAAAAACATTCCTCCTAAGAATTTAAGCATGGTTTCTTTTGATGTAAAATCATTATTCACCAATGTTCCAATGGAGGGTGTATTAAGATGTCTAGAAACCTGACTTCGCGAATTTCTTTTCTCTTGCATCAAAATTGATGAGCTAATTTCTGTCACTCAACTCTGTTTGAAACAAACACATTTTGTTTTCCAAAATAAATATTACAAACAAACTGAGGGATTAGCCATGGGAAGGCCCCTCAGTTCCATCCTGGCTGATATCTACATGCATTATTATGAATCAAAATTGTTTCAAACTTTAAACTTCCCCGCATGGTTCCGCTACATAGACGATACTTTTACCCTGTTTGAAGGTAATAAAGATGATTGAAGTAAAGTTCTTTCAACAATGAATTCTATTGATCCTGCTATTCAGCTCACTTTTGAACTAGAGACTTGCAATTCTCTTCCATTTCTCGACATTCTGGTCACACGTAACACATCCAACTTCAGTACTACGGTTTACCGTAAAACCTTCATCGGTTTGCCTTCCACCACACTTTAAATCATGTCATCCGACTAAACAAAAGTTAGCTTCATTTTATTCCTATGTTTTCCGTGCTCTTCAAGTTTGCTCCTCCAAACTAGCCCTTGATGAAGAACTAAATTATTTAAAAGCAATAGCTATTGACAGGGGATTTTAACCCAACATTATTAATCAAGCGGTTAAAAAAAATTCTCATCTCAACACACTAAAAGGCACACTTTTGTTTTAGGAAATTATAAAAATTCTGTTGTCATTCCTTCTTTCCATCAATTAGCTATAAAGTTGCACAGATTTCGCAGAAATTTAACTTTCGGGTTGTTTATTCTCCCATCAATAAAATTCCAAGTTCCATACTCAAGGACCCCATTCTGGATATGAATTCTTGGGGTATTTATAGGATTTCTTGCCAGTGTGGTTTGATTTACATTGACCAAACTAGGAGAGCCTTAAAGTTTCGCGTCAAGGAACATGAGGCGTATGTTAGAAAAAAGGAAACACAGATGTCTTCTGTTGCGCAACATTGTGGGTCCAAAAGTAACACTTTCAATTTTTCTGCTGCCAAAATTATTCAAAAAACATCTTCCCTTGGAGAACTGGATTTTCTAGAGGCATTTCACATTAAAAAAAATCTCTCTGTTCTAGTTAACGATCCTAATTCCAATCCATCTTTGCCTTCGGTCTTTAAAGAAATTATATTTTAGTTCTGGTTTCACCAACAGATGGCACCACTTGCTTATTCTTGTCCAGGCTTTCTAATCTTATCTAATTATTATTTCTATCTTTTCATTGCGTTTGAGGTGAGGATGGTAAAACCATCGAAACTAGTCCTGTGAATTTTGAAAATATACGGATTTTTGGTTACATCTGAATTAGTTTATTAGGTGTTTTGTTTTTTAAAATTTAATGTTTTGTTTAGAGTGTTTTTAAGGCGGCTATCACACGGCGGTTTGTTTCGGAAGGACAACTGTTTGGAACAATTTTTCTGCTTTGTCACGTGATATACAACAGCCAATCACCGTAGATCACTTTGGGGTTAACATGTAAAGGGAAAACTGGTTCTCTACTACAAACACGAAGGTTACCAAAATTAGTTATTTTTAGCGTAGTTGGCGACACATTAATTAAATCGTCTGCTTGTGATTCTGTGACAATACACAGATAGAAGCAATTCTGGGAGCGAAGGTAAACACGGCCATCAAACGCTATGTCGAATTCAAAAGAACGTTTCATTTTAGGAGCGTCTATATTTGCAGCTGCTTTCCTCATCAAGAAAAAAAGAAAGGCTAAAAGAAAAACATGGGCAAGACAATGGCTGTTGAGACGTAAAACGCTGGGCTGCTATGAAAATTTAATGCGTGAACTGGCATTAGAGGTAAGAGTTATTTCTTTTTTAAGTTTAAATATGTGCACATATGCATCCAAGGTTTTACAAATAAAATGTGGATAGTTTATAATTCATGAAACGTACTTAAGACTTTCCATATAATTTTTAGGACAGAATTTCATTGCAAATGATTGTAGATAGATATTTCAAGATTTTTTTCTAAATGCTTTAATTTTTAATATTTTATTTTCATTCACTTCCATTTTTATGTAGTTGTATTAGCATTTGTATGTATGTGCACTGTAATATGTATTTAACTACATAACAAAGTATATGTGTATATATTAAAAGCATAAATTTAAGGAATGTTTTATGGTAGTCTTCTGTTATCGGGATCTGATTCAGAAATGTATACACATACATATGTACATACGTATAGGGAATGTTTTATGGTAGTCTTCTGTTATCGGGATCTGATTCGGAAATGTATACACATACATGTGTACACACATATACATATGGAGTACATGAACACATACATCCATACATTTCTGAATCTGGTCCTAATAACAGAAGAGTAAATTTATTTTTCAAATGTTGACTGTTCAAAATATTCTTTAAAATTTTATGCTGCTTGAGTACTTGCATTCTTATTTAGTTTGCTGATTTTAACTATTAGTAAGTAATATATGGTGTCACTTTTCTGTTCCAGTTAGCTATACTGAATATTTCATTATTTTATTTATTGCCTTTTTAAAATTAATTGTGATGATTTGTCTGCCTCTTCTTGAAAATGTTCCGACACACTAAAAACTAATTCCGACACACTAAAGTGTTAAAGCAATTTGGCATTCCTCGTTAAATCATGTTAATTATTTTTATATATTTGTTATTATATCTGATTATATTTGATTCTCGTGTAAATAATTAATTGTTCAAATATTCAGTACTCTTCTGTTAATGGGACTGGATTCAGAATGTATGTATGCATGCACACGTGTATAGATTTTATATGTACATATTTATGTATATGTATACACACACATACATACTTATATACATGCAGGCAATGAATGCATATATTCATACACACAAGCATATATACATACATTACCTGAATCCAGTTCCGATAACAGAAGAGTACCTGTTTTACTTCCAACACAGAATTTACTGTTAAAAATACATTTCAACTTATATATTTTTTCCCCATGCTTCAAGTAATATAAATATTATGTTTATACAAAAGCCTTTTATATAGAGTACCTTTAGTAATCTCTGGCACTTTATTAATTCCACCATATCTAGGCTGCACTCATGTAATTAATTTTATATAATACTGTTAGCCTAGCAAAAAGTGCCATATTCTTTGAAATTTTACATTCATCCTATCTCAGCTATAACTTCGTTATAAATTCAACTAAGTTACCTAACAATTATTCCAATTTTTAATCTGTTGCAGTTATAATACAACTGCATATGATAAATTTCAGGAATTTCTTTAGATTTTTATGATGTATATAATATATTATCATCAGTTAAATTTGCATTTTTTAGATATTGACATTTAGAAGACATTTTTATCAAATTCAAACTTCATAACAAATGAAGACAAATGATTTCTTTACAAAATACTCAATTGCTCACCATCATTCCTCAACAATAGTATATTTTGTGAACAGCACTGTTTTCCGGATTATGGTCATTGGCGTCAGATTTGTCTTTCAATTAGAGATGTTACATACTTGCGACTTAAGTAACTACGCACGGATTCTGGGACCTAAGCATACAATGATATAAAACGACGCGCGCATATAGCATATAGCGCCATATAAAAATCGTACTTGCAGGTTTTATCATGGGGACGATTTGTAACATTGTGTTAGCAGTTACAAAACCAGAATCACTCATTTCCTCGAAGAAAAAGGCCGATGTTTTTTTTTTTTTTTTTTTTGTTATAATAAAACCCCATGTCATTCTAATACAATTTTACCTCTTTATCTACATTAGATTTATTAAGTTTTCAAATTTATAATGGTTTTTGCATTTTAAAGATATTTGCTTCAAATTCAAACTTTCTTATATTTTAGTAATTTTGGCATGTTTTATGTCAAGGAAATTTACATCTACTTAAATGATTGTATAATATAAGCATTAAATACATATTCATTGTTTGTGCTTTTGATGTTTTGGTCATAAATACAGACTTTTAAAGGTATGAACTGTAATTAACTTAGCCATTGCTTAGAAGTTTAATAATGTTAATTATTAAATTTTTAGGACACTGAAGGCTATCGAAGATGGCTGCGGATGGATACTGCAACATTTGAGGAAATTTTAAGCCTGGTTTCGCCAATAATATCTAAACAAGATACACAAATGAGATTATCTATACCAGCTGGAGAAAGGTTATCACTCTTCGATTTCTAGCCACAGGTAAGTGTCCGATATATTAAATTATTAAAAATATGAGCTGATTCTTATTTAAAATGAAAGAAGAGATAACATGCAGTTAATTCTGTTGTTATTTTTCAGGAGACTCAGAGCTCATTGGCATATCAGTTTAGAATTGCCCAAAATACTATCTCGGGTATCTTGCCAGCTGTGTGTAAAGCGCTGTATGATGTCTTGAAAGCTGAATACATGGACACGCCTACGTCAAACAAGCATTGGGAAGAAATCGCTACAGATTTTTATTTAAAGTGGAATTTTCCAATGTGTTTTGGTGCCCTAGATGGCAAGCACATTAAAATTAAACCACCACCTGGTTCTGGTTCAATGTACTATAACTATAAGGGAGATTTTAGTATTGTCTTACTTGCACTGGTTGATGCTAACTTAAAATTCATATATGTTGATGTAGGAACGAATGGAAGAATTAGTGATGGAGGTGTTTGGGACAAAAGTAAATTAAAATCACTGGTTGAAAGGGATGAATTATTTTTGCCAGCACCAAACACTTTGCCAGGAACAGATGTTAATGTTCCATATGTCATAGTGGCAGATGATGCTTTTCCACTAACCCAATACATTATGAAGCCATATCCTGGAAGGCATCTCACAAAAGAAAAAAGAATTTTTAATTACAGACTGTCACGAGCAAGAAGAATTGTAGAAAATGCATTTGGCATTCTAGCTGCCAGATTTCGACTTTTCGGAACAACAATATTGACATCGCCACAAAAGGCTCAATACTTTGTTTTGGCAGCTTGCTGTCTGCACAACCTGTTGCGCAGCAAAAAAGAAACAACAAATTTATACACTCCTGAACATAGTTTAGATGCTGAGGATTTCGAAAATAATTGTATAAGAAAAGGAACATGGAACGAAAGTACTTCTAAATTTATTTCATTGCAGCGAAGTGCACGCAATGGTTCGCAGGAGGCAAAAGATGTCAGAGATAGATTTTGCAATTATTTTAATGGTATTGGATCCATTCCCTGGCAAGAAGCCATGTGTGACTTACACTAAGGCATGTTTGAAATTATTCTGCATGTTCCAATAAAAACTCATATATATCTCAAGTAGTTCCTAATTATTAATAATTTATTAAAGCCTCTAGTATATTCTTAATCATATATACAAACACACATAAAAACAGTGAATCACTTTATTATAGTTCATCTATTAATGACTGCCATGAAATTACTGCAAATTTATAATTAAAAAGAGAAAATATTAGAAATAAATAAACAAGTATATTCACGTTTAACAGAATTTTATTGTGGATATTTGAATTCATAAATCAAATTTTGAATTTTCATCCGTAACAGTTCCTGATCAGCAGGACACTTTACTGTCTTCAGCTGACCAGCAACATACGCTCCAAACAAGTCGTTCACATCTTTCTCTTCTGTTATGTTTTTTAGACATTTTGTCATTGTAGTAAAAAATTCATCTTCAGGTTTTTTTCTTTTTTTGCTTGTGCCTGGAGCAACCAATTGACTTCCAGACATTTTGGGGGTTTCTAATAGATTGCATGTTTCTTCTGTGCTTGTAGGAGGAAGAAAGAACACTTTCTTCTGAAAACATTTCAGTTTCTTGAACAAAATTCTGAAAGAAAAAGAATATTTAAAAAATGAATTTTTTATCAACTCTATTAACACGTTGATGGCCATGGCACTTTTCGGATTCCGGTCCGAGAAAGCCAAATCAATTTAATCATATGTTATTAATTTTTATAATTATATTTTTGTTCATTTTTTAATAAATTTTCTGTTTATGCAAGCTAGCATTGATTTTTTTTTCTTTTCCCAGAAGCAATCTATCAATATTAGCACTGATATATTCCGAGTTTAATCGTAGCTGCACAAAAATGGCAAGTAAACACAGTGCAGTGCGATAATTCGTAGTTGCCGTCCTAGAAAAGAACGCAATCTACGAGTTATCTCGTAGTTGGCAGTCAACGTGTTAATTAATGAACAATAAATCTGATTCAACTAACATTATGAATAAAGTTATTTAATAAAAGGAATAAAGTGCTTAGACTTAAAATTATGGGAATAGTAAAATAGTTAAATTAAAATAGATGACTATGTAAATTCGAGGTAGGTTAATAGGTTCTTATGGCAAAGGATCTGAAGGATACCAGAGTAAAATAAATTCAAACCATGTTTATCAATCCAAAATCAATTTGCCCAGAATGACTTACTAATTTCATTTTCGCATTTTGCGTTGATTCAATATAAGCTTTGTTTCACTTTTCAAATTGTTGCCACCAAATATTATCACCCTGTATGATATTTAAAGAAATTAAATAATGAAGAATCTGCATAAATATATGTTTCTCACAGTGTGATAAAGCAATGGTACCTAAGGCCATCAAATTTTCAATAACGTAATCCTCTATGAATATGGGCATCTGGAAGCCTAAATTTGAAATTTGTCCCATTATCGATTTAATTTTGTAAAACTTTTATCGAATTTATGATTAACAAATTCAAGAATTTCAAAGCAAGCAATGGCAACATTGTACAGGAAAAACATTTTAATCTCCAGCATGGTAGACTGTATCATCAGCGGCGTAGCTAGAGGGGGCAAGGGGGGGGCCATCTGTCCCCGGGCGCAGAATCCAAGGGGGGCAAAACTGATGTTTCGACATTTTAGAATTAAATGTTTTCCATCCTTGGCAAGCACCTACTGAAAACCCTAGCTACGACTCTGTGTATCAGAAATTCTAAAAATATGGTCATTTTAAAATTATTTTGAGATATTGCTCTTGAACTGAAATTTATGGTTTAAGTGTGAAGAGCATGATATTTAATAAATAAAGGTAACACACGAAATGATAAAAAACATGCCTTTAGGCGTAATTAAAACACTGAAACCTTTCAAATTTCATTTCATTACTTTTATATGTTTTTTTTAAATTTGTTTTATTGAATATGGTAGATTCTGCAAGGACTATACATCTCAGAGGTGGCTTCATGGTAGATTTCCGAAAGAGAAACTGGAACACTTGGGCAAAAACAAACATGCAACCACCCTGATTGCCAAGATATGAATCCAGAGTGGCAAATGATACAAAATTTTAAATTTCACATGAGCCGTAAACACAGAGAAAGAAACATTGTATGATTTTTATATTACAGCACACATATAAATTTGCTAATTTAATGGATAGTATTTTTAATATAAAAAAATGTATAGATTTAAAAATTACCATTACAATAGACTCAGATGAATTATCCATATTGCTACAACTGGCCATAGCAGCAAAAGAGTCGTCTAAAAATTCAAGCCGTACATAATGTTCCCACTTTGGAACAAATCCAGTGGATCCTGTTCCACTTTTAAACACCTTCGCCTTTTTTCTTTCCTTCCTAAAATATGTCCTGAGGTTCTGAAATTTTGTCATCACAGTCTCTGTAAAATGGAACAATTTTATTATATGTAGTATTATTCATTCTAACAGATTTTGTAGAAAGGGGTTTATAATCTGTGGCAATATAAGGAGTGGATCTGAAGATCAATCTATGTTAACACAAATAAATTAAAAAATATAATTAGTGGTAAATAAAATAAAAACATGATAAAAAATAATTTGACAGAAACTGCAGCTGTGCATCTGCTGGTATGTAAATATAATATGCATATATATATATAATTGCATCAATATAAAATGACATATATACATGTTTTATAGAAATACATATGTCTGTAAGTATGCATTTATTCATACATGCATCTAAAAATGAGGACACCTTATCACATATGTACATATGTAACATATGTAGATATAATTTTATATGCATTTAATTGTATATATGCATATTACATTTGTATACCTGCATATAGATGTTTAACACAGCTGCCATTTTCTTGTAATTTCTGACAAATCATTTGCCCAAAGGTGCATTAGCCCAGAACGGCTATTAATTTCAAAACGGTATTTTGCATCATATTACTAAAAACGCAAAATCACTTTTAAAACTGTCGCCACCAAATATTATCACCCTATTTTATATTTAAGAAAAGTAATAATGAAGAATCTGTATGAATGAATGTATACATTTCTTGCATTCTGAAAAAACAATGATAGCTAGAGCCATCAAATTTTGAATAATGTAGCCCTCCATTCCCCCTGGAAGCTCGAATTTTGTTGTAATTTATTTCATATTTTGTCAGACTTTAATGAAATTTTTTATCCAAAACACCCCTTTGAATGTAATGTAAAATCTGAAAGCTTTCAGAATTTTTTTGTTTGCTTTTTTACCCCTGATTATATTTTTAATCTTGTTTGTATGAACATAAATTGATCTTCCGATTCACTGCCATAGATTTATGGAAGATATGAATTACTATCCATATTTAGTTTTAAAAAAAATTCAAAGCCGATGCCGTAAAAAATTATAAAAAATTTCACAGGAATATTCTACTTTCATAAAAGAAAATAAATATATATATATAATTCATGCATGTATATATAAATGAGTATACCTTATTTCACAAATGAAGTTGTATGCACCAAATTTACTAATAATGAAATACATGTAATGTACACTGGTGAAATAAATTAAGAGAATTTGTATATTTTATCGAATTGCATGAAAAGAACTGAACTGAAAGAATAACCACTTCATCTGGATAAAAATGCAAGTGTTGTAGGGCAAATACATAAGCATACACATGTGTGTAGGCCGAGTCAGCAGAAAAACAGGCCGTCCACTAGTTTTGGAGATCATAGATCAAATATAAAAATTCTCTTAATTTATTTCACCAGTGTACGTATATTACATAATGTACAAATATACATAAATATTAGATTTGTAAACATATTTTTAAATATGCTTATATAAAGAAATGCATAAATTAAAAATGTCTATATATTAATATTCTCAGCCACTCTAAATTTCAGTAAACACTGCAGTATAAGATTGTTTCTTTTCAAAAATTTATATCCCTGACAGGGCCTTTATTAGATTTAAACATATTTTTAAATTTAACTGAATATTTTTCAAAGGACACATAGGTGTATATTTATTTATTTATTTATCTATCTTTTTTTTTATTTATTATTAGAAATCTCAAAAAGCAGTATACATTTCTTTTTATAGTCTAAAATATTATTCAGATATTGATCAATTAAAGTTTTAGTCAGCTCTGCTTAAATTTAACTTTCCTTATTTACTTTTTAAATAATAATTTTACCAGAAAATCTGTTTCTGAAATAAAAATCAGATTTCTAAGTTTTAACTGGTACAATTATATTCGGAAATTTAAAGGTTTTTATTCTTAGCTACATCTTTTCGGGTGATCCATTGCAATTTAGTAAAATATGCTCCTTTGCAATATAGATTATACCCATATGCATAAATAAATCATTTTCATACGAGTGTAGAAATACCAAAACAGATATTAAGGGTATGGAAGTAATTGCGTCACACGCTATTCCAATAAGTAAATTTTTTAATTCACCTGGTAAGTTAACGCGGTGAATACCATGAATCACGATAATGTTTACAAACATGATTCAGCGAAAATTTGGCATTCGTTTTGGCGACAAAGCCGCCTGTGTTTTACAAGTGTTTGCCCATATATCGCGAATGTAAAATACATACTTTTCTTTACATAATTATGCTTACGTAACATGAAAACATCAAATGATATATTTATATATACATAGTAAATGTTTATATTTAATTAACAGCACAAAATGCAATAATAAACTTACCAGGCATAAACGTATGTCCATATTCAGGCCATTTGTCTGCGAGATGCTGAGCGATTGTGATATATGCATTCCGCTTCAGAAGTTTTTTGGTGTAACTGGGATCTGTAATATCCCATAAACATCGCCTTTGCCTCACTTCTTCAATAAGTTCAGCTTCGATTTCTGTACACCACTTGCTACCATTGCAGTCCGCCATCTTGAATGTTGTTTTGGTTGATGATGATGATGAGGGATTCGAAGCTGATAGCTGATTGGTTGAAAATGAACAACCTGCAACTTTTGCCGAACAGAAGCAAAAAATCGAGCATCTTTTGCTCAGTACTAAACCAGGCAGAAAAGTTGTCCGAAACA